ATATACATATTGAGGAAATGTGTGCTACATATTATGTATACACATACATGTTTATATACATATATTTATATAAATATATACATTTATTTATTTACTGACTTGTAGTCCAGGTTTAAGGAAGATTTAGGTGTAGGTTGAAAGTCAGAAACCTGATTAGTAGTATTGTCACTGATGTGGTTTGGAATTTTTTTCTCATTTTGAACATTGCCAGCATCTTTGCATACAAATACTTAAGGCAATATTGTTTGATTGGTATTTAAAGCCAGTCCTTTAGCCACAAAGGAGACAAAGCTCATTAGATTCTAGTATCATCAACCTGTTTAGTGAGACGTTGACTCTTCCTTCATGATTCCTTAGGTTTTAGGACAGAGACTTTGTCACAAATGATCCTGATTTATACATATATACATACCATTTAGTTGTCAATATTATACATTTCATTGTTTAAATATTGTTTTTAGTTGCATGCTTGTGGTAAATGATAATTAATTCCCGAGCTCATACTATTCTATCAAGGACATGTGCTACTAAAACAGTAATTACTGGAAACATTGATTGAAAAGTATAGTGCTAGGCACATAAAAACTGTTGCACTGGCTTCATACATTGCCGTTCCTTGTAATAAATCTTACTTGTATTTTAATTTCATAGCAAATTAAAAAGACTATACCTAATATTAAAGAAAAGTAGAAAGTATAATTCTGCCTGTGGCAAAAGAAAGATTCCAAAAATATTTAGTGCACTGGACTAATAAAAACCACGAAGGAAATTTCTCTGTTATTGAAAAGAGGAACATGAAGGCAAACATCATCTAATGACTGACTTATTTAAATCCTTTGTAGTATCACCAGGCTGAGTGTAATTTTGCATCTATTAGAAACATATCTTTGAATGAATGTCTTGAATAAAAGAGACCAACACGAATATGTTTGCTCCTTACCAAATCTCACTATCACTGGAATTTAGAGTTACTTTGCTATTTTCACTTTGCATGAAGAAGCAAGTTAAATATAAATGCCATTTGTATTCAATGATGCACTTTCAAAATGCGGGAGGCAGGATGATAGAGTGGAGAGAAAAAAAATAGACGTTTCCTTTCAGTAATACTTTGACTGTGTGATCTCTTGTAGATCCTTTCAAAGCTGGGACAGGGATTCTCATCCTTAATACAGACTATGAGGCATGGTAGGCAGTTCAGTAAAGGTAGTCCTAGTAGTTGTGTAGACTTGTTCTATAGCTACCCTCCACTTCTTAGGAATTTCTGTTACTTATTTTTTAAGGACTTTTGAAATTGGAGAGTAGTGTAAGTGTGCAGTTGTGGTTGTCATGTGGTACAGTGTCCAAGATAAAGTATCATTCATTCAAGAGACACTTTCCTGAGTTTGTAATAGTGATCTTTGTGTCTGTCCTTAATGTGGGCTGGGACAGATAGCGAGAAAAGTGTGCGGTGTGTTTAAAAGATTGCACAATGTGTCAAGTAAAGGGATTTGTTAAAAACCAACATTGCACCAAGGCTCTCGCCAGCAGCCCAGCCCGGGCCGAAGCCCCGCCCCAGAACCATCTTCCAATCGGCTGTGCCGCGCGAGCCCAGCCCTCGCGTGTCACGTGACGTAGCCCAGCCCGCTTCCGGCGCGTCGCGGGCAGCTGACGTCCCAGGCCGGCGTCGCGTCAGGGCTGGCCGGCGACGGCGGCAGTGGCTACGGCAGCGGTGATGGTGGCGGCCCCCGAGCGGGCTTGAGGGCTCCGACCCCGCTCCCTCCCGCGCCTCCTCGGGGCCGACGCGGCGCCGCGGGCTCGGCTTTCTGGGCTTCTGCTCCCTCCCCGGCCGCCGCCCGAGCAGACGCAGACGAGGCCCGCGCTGGCCGCCCTGACGCGCCCCGGCTCGGCCCCTGACGGCCCGGCTGCTGTGCGGAGACGAGGCCGAGTCGGTAAGAGGCGGCGGCGGGGCCTGTGGAGGCTGCCGGGTCCCGGGCCGCACTCTCGCCCGCTTCGCTCTCGACCGGCGCCCGGCTCCCTGCCACCCGCCGGCCCTATTGTCTGCGCGCCGCCGTGCTCCCCCGCCTTCCTTCCCCTGCCGGGCCCGCGGCTGTCAACCTGCAGCTCCCGGGCTCCGGGCCAGCGGAGCCACGGTCTTTCCTGGCTCCCCTTGCCACCCTGCCGGCCTGCCTCGTCCCCCACCTCTGCTTAGCTTCGTGGTCTTTCACCACTCACTTGCTCTGCTTTCTGTCTCTTTCCTCTCACTGTCATCTCAACTAACTTCCACCGTCCTTAACGTCGCAGTTCTTTTTACTGCTTTCCCTTCTCTTTTCATTTCAGTTCTTTTTACCGCTTTCCCTTCTCTTTTCTTTTTGTTTCCTCTATCCTCTGGCTCTCTCCTTGTTACAGTTTCACTTTAAGGATCTGTCCAGTAGATTGTCTTTTGTAAAAGTTCTTAATTCGGATGCCTCTGTCATTCTCCCACCTCTCCACAAGAAAATGGAAATCATCCGTGCCTTTTGAGGTACCTCATTCCTGAGAGTCACTGGGGGATTAGATTTAGAGGTTGGAAGTTTGATCTTAGGAAATGTTATAGTAGCTGGCCAGTTGCCTCTTTGGATTCTATTTCTGCACATTTAAGTAACAGCCTTGTTTGTTGTACACTTACAAGGTTTCTTTTTAAAATATTTATGTTTGTTCCCATTACATTCAGTGCACCCTGCCTATGAATCTTAACCTCACTGATGCCATGCCAGCATATTCTATAGCCCCTTAGCCACAAGCTTGTAAACTTGATCCCCCATATTTTTGTATCAAGCATCTATGCTATTTCTTCCCTTTTCAGATAAAAAAAAAAAAAAAAAAAAAAACAGGAAGAGACATTTGGAATTCTGTTTGCTGTTATGTTTTACCTATTTTAAGCAGTGGCCAAACCATTAATTTTTCATTTATGTGGGGTTTATTTTTCTTTAAGTTGGAGGGATCCTAGTCAGTAGTAATGTAAAACATTTTTTAAGCATCTTTCTCCAACAATAGTAGCTTTAGATTCCTGATTATCAATCAGCTGTATTTTGATGAGACAGAGTACACCAATTATATTTTCATTTCTTTATTGATATTTTGAGAATGTATTCATTTTCCTCAAATACTCACTAGTGAAAAAAGTTCTCAAGTGTGCTAAATGGCCAGTATGGCCTAAAGAACAGTTAATACTTCACATTTGAATGAGCTGCAGAGAACAGAGGACTTCTTTGCAGTATTTTTGTGTTTTTAATAAGAAACATCTTTTTATTGTTATTGTAGGCACTGTATTGGGTTAGTGATAGAAACCATACTCAGAGTGAAACTCTGGCACTATTGATTATTAAATGTGGAATTTAAGAAAAATCCTTTGCAACTCTTTATGTTAAAATTATTGAGTGGTGTACTGCTGAGATAGTATGGCATAACCCTCCTGATCTTACAGGAAGGTTGGTTGGAATCATTCCTGACATAGTGCTTGTCTGCTGCTTCTATGTCTTCATCATTTTACATAGAATTGTACATCTTGACATACTAAATGATTTTCTGGTAATTAAGGTAAAATTGATTAAGCTGGTCCCTTCAAGGATTTCAGTAAACAGATTGATTTGTCTTAATTTTTAAAACTTACAATATTTATAGCCGCCTTTGGGTGGAAATTTCTTGGGCATTTTTTGAGGCATTTTAGTCATTAGTAAGTCTTAATGGCTTGTCTCTTCTTTTTAGCTAGTTTTCCTTTCTATATTGCTTTTATTAATGCCTTACCAACATTGCCTTCATGTTGAATGCTGCCGAAGCTATTATTAATTATTCAATTAAAAAACTGGCAAGTGTTGTAACTTCCCTTGTTTTATTTTGAAAGTTACTTAAATACTGTCTTTTCCTTTCAACCATATTCCCTGTGTATTTCATTCATTAGAATCTAATTTTCTCTTTTCCTCTTGAGGTAGTGGAAAGAAAATACTGAAGAATAGGATCTCAAGATGAGTAAAAAGCCCCCAAATCGCCCTGGAATCACTTTTGAGATTGGTGCTCGTTTGGAGGCACTGGACTACTTACAGAAATGGTATGGAAAATATGAAGCTTTGACCCAACACAAAAAATATGAAGTTTTTAATAAGTCAGTTGCTATTCTAACCACTTGTCAGTCACATGAGTATATTCATCCCTTGAATACACATGCACATTGGGTTTTAGGTTTAGCATTTAAAAACTTTAGACATTGTTTAATACAGTACTTGAGATGTTTGAGGTTTAAAAGTATTTGTCTAGAGTAAGAGGCAAATAGAAAGGATGGTACCTTTGAATGAGTAACAGAGCTGTATTGGGGTAGGGTCAAGGAAGGTTAGTTCACATAATCAGTTTCCTAAAAATTTGGATAAAAACCTGGATGGTTCTGTTTTCTTTTTGTTTAGATAATATTAGTGGTTAGGACTTGTACTTTCATAGTGTACATGTCCATCCTTCATTATCCCATGGAAAACCAAAGTCACAACCCAACTTTCTCCTCCTTTAAAGAGCAGAACTTCAAGCCATGATGCAGCTGATTGTTGTACTAGAAAGACAGTCCTCTCAAAATTGCGCTTTTTCCTCTTGTTTTGGTCTTCTGTGACAGATAGTCAGTATAAACACCCCATGCATGTTACTTACATAGTGGTGTAAGAAAGGCTAGTATGATATCCATGTGTCTAGGAGAGCAGGGAAACAGCACACAGAGATCACTGGCTCACAGGGTGATAAGGACAAGGGAACAAGTTGCTCATTCTGATTAGTGGCTCATCACCCTGCCTCTAGGCAAATATCCTCTTGTTGCCATTCTTGGGCCACTGAGAAGAGCATTTGATAGGTTTTGCCTGAGACCAGTGCTACCTTTTCTCCCTTCTGATGCTCGTTTGTTTTGGAGAAGGGCCTAGTATCTTAGCTACTTAAGGACTTTATTCACCACACACTTTGACATTTTCTCTCACCATTGCTCCATTAAAGCCATAATGGGAGCCAGTAGATTTGCTTGTGATCATTTTGCATTCAGTCAATTTACTGAAATGGCAATAGCAGGCAGAAACCTTTTCTAGTCATAGTATTGACTTGAGACTAACTCTGCACTTTTTGTTAACATCTAGCCTTATATATCGTCATGTCTATATCACTAGCTGAGTGGCCCAGTTTTGGGCTCTTTTAGGAAAGTTTGAAATTCTGCTTTGATATTGAGTGACACAGTTATTTTGCCCTTTGCTCCCAGCTATTCAATGGGTAGTTCTTTTAAGGAGCCCATTTCTTACCAGGTATATAGTATATATAGTGTTTCCTTGAACTTGGGAAGCACCTGAGAAATAGGCTTCATCATAACACGGGTGTCTAGATTTTACTAAATGTTAGGTAGGGTGTGTCGGTGACAGTGGTGAAATATTCCTAACTACAAAATCGTATATTTATACCATAGAGCAAAAGATTCCAGTTTGTCTGGTCAGAGCTGGCTTTCTTGGTTGTGATTTAGCCAGATTGTTTTACTACAGATGTACACTATTGAATCTTTGTGAGATATAAGTATAGAATAGAATTTTTTTTATGTCAATCTTTACCTTTTTTTGTTACTGCTTTTGTGAATAACAAGTTATTTCATATTAATATATTCTCATAGGCTTTTCAGCCAACAAAGTGCCATTGAGGTAATTTCTAGTTTTGAAGAAGCACAGAGTTTATTAGTTTGTACAATAGTTTTTAGGGACAGTAACATCATTTTAGCTTGATGTGTAAGGACGTTACTTTTGGTGGTGAAATGTCTTCTAATTCAGTGGTTGTTAAATTTTGATTTGGTAATTAAATTTTTAAAAAGTTTTTAAAGAAATACTTTTTTAGGCCTTACCTTCGTGTACTTAGTGTTCTATGCTTCAGAGTATAATTGCCGAAAGCAAGCCAGAGTTGTAGCTTCTCAACAAGAAATTCATTCTAATCAATCTAATGAAGCTAACTACTAAAACTAGGTTTTAATGTCTACATGTTTTTCTAGTAAGTTCAGTGATAATGGTCCTATTGAGAAACATTGCCCAGTTGAGCAGGTTTACTTTTTTGTTTTCAAGACTGAGTTATGTACTGTAGAATTAACTTATCATATGTTGGTATGTCCTTTTAAATTGAAGTATTAGAGGGGCAGAAAAGATGACTCAGTGGTTAACTGACTTGGCTGCTTTCCCGTAGGATCCAAGTTTAGTTTCCCCTACCCATGTGGAAAGGCTCACAACTGCCTATAACTCCAGCTTTAGGGGATCTGATGCTTCCTTCTGGCTTTAGAAAGTATCTTCACTCACATACATGTACACGCATACATAAACCTTAAAAAAAAATTCTTATTTTATGTGAGTCTTTTGCCTCCTTGGTGCCTGAGGAGGTCAGAAGAGGGAGTTAAAGATGGCTATAAACCACCTTGTAGGTGCTGGGAAATGAATCACAAGTCTTGAGAGCAGCAAGTGTTCTTAACCACTGACCCCATACTCCCACCCACTCCATACACATAAATTAAAAATAAATAAAAAATAAAAATAAAAAAAGGAAAAGCCATCCATAGTAGCACACTTCCCGCAACTTAGGAAGCTGAAGCAGGAAGATAGTAACTTCAAGGTCAACATGACAACTTAGTGTGCCTACTTCAAAATAATATATCCAAGGTTTAGGAATTTAGCTTTGAAGTGGAACACTTGGCTAGCATGAGCAAAGCCTTGAGTTCAATCTCCTGTACCACCCACTCAAACAGACAGTAACAAAAGCACAAAAGGGGATAATCATAGAACACTCAAAATGCCAGTTAGCTTGATCTGTATAACAAGTTTTTCTTGGCAAAAAAGAAAAATACATTCTGATGTGTCCTAGTAATAAAAATATACACTAAATTTAGTGAGAAGAAAGAAACTGAAGGTAAGCTTCTTTAATGGTAAGGATGATGTGTGTTACTAAGAGATTTAGATCTATTTCTTAGAAAGAGTACTGTCAATAGTGCTTGAGCAGCCAGTACCACATACTCATAGAGATTGTTACTTCCTATTTTCAAAGTAAGCATGCAGCTTCAAATGGAAGTCACTGGTGGCTTGATTATCTGTCTACACTAATGAATGCAGGCCCTGAGAGGTCATCCTGGAGTCTGACATTTTTACTTTCTATTTGCTTTTGTTACCTAGATCTACTCAGATTAAACTTCTTCTGAACATGAACTTTTAATTTTTTGTTATCTCATTTAAACATTTTAACTGATTTTCTGAGCAACCTGAGGAAGGACTTTAATGTGCTAGATTAACTACTGTTATCAGCTGTTTTTAATCATACTTTTCTGTTATATTTTCCACTGTTACCTATGTCTACTCACACCTTGATACTGAGTTTTATCTCTGGAAGACACCATCAAAAGAATGTCAAAACAAGTATTTTGGTGTAGGAATATATTTGGAGAAAGAGAATGTTCATAATAAAGTTATATTGGAGACACTAAGTGGATGGTTTTTAATTTATGCAGTTATTTATTGATCCGGTAAGTATGGGCAAATATTGGTTTGTTTAGCAGTAGCACTGGCTATTATTTATACAATATTTTTAGGGTCAAATAAACATATCTGAACTTGTTTTGAATTCTACAATTTCAAATTTACATCACTGACATAATTGCAAGGGGAGAGAGCTGAAAAATAAACTTTTGGTGATCAGAAGATGTCAGTGGCCAGGTTTTTAATAGACTTTAATGTTGATATGAGAATGAGCTAGACTCACACAGCAAAAAACATGTCTCTCCAGCAGGCTATGAGAGCACAGTCTCTGAGGTACTCATCACATCCTTCTACTCCAGTAGACTTTTCTAGAATGCTGAGCACCTATACAACACTGACATGTAACCATGTGCAGTACAGTTGATACGAAATAATGAAACTGCTGCCCATTTTAATAGTGTAACTGCTGCCCATTGATTAAGTTATTACTCTCCATCAGGGATTTATTTATGAGAACACAGCAGATGGAGTGATCTTCTGTTAAGTCAATACAGTCAAAGTATTAAGATGAGTTCTGCTCTTCTGACTTCTGGAATATTCCTGTTAATTCTCTTCTAGATCCAAAGAAACGTAAAGTGAGAGATTAAAAAATGTGGAGTTGTCTTCAATTATGAGAGTTTGGTAGAACAGTTTAAATTTGAGTTGGCAAATGCTGTTCCATATATTTGGAGGGTATGAACTGTATAGAACATTTGCAAATGTGTTTAAGTTCACTAACAGAATTTTAAAAGTGTGAAAAAATTCAAGAAGTTAAGATTGTAGTAGTGACAAATTCCTTCTAATTGAAAATAAATGCATATTTTCTGAATAAAAAGTAACTTTAAACTGGTAGCTTTTCAGAGGAATATAGAGCTGTGTGATCTATGCTGAGGGCAGGAGAATGCCCTGAAAATTACTCATTGTGAAAGTAAAACCGTGTTACATGAGTTTGAAATTTATAAGAACATTAGGTGAATACTTTCAAGAGTGAGATTTCGTTAGTTGATGTCAATAAAGTTTTTGTCCTTTTGTGTATGGAGTTTCTAAACATATATACATTTTTATCTTTATGTATATCATGTGAAATATTATGTTGAGTCATTCACTGCCATTGAAAGTAGATTTCTGCTGTAGACTCAGAAAAAAAAGTATAGTTGTGTATATAATATCAACATAATTGAATTATGTATTAGGTTCTTAAGTCCACAAAAAATATTTGTAGACTACAGTTTAAGCACTTTTTACAGAGAACTCAAATTGAAACGGTAAGAGCTTTGTTTTTAAATTCTGATATTTAATCTTCTTTAGTCATTAGGTGGGTCTGTGCTAACATACAAATGCTTTAAACTTTCTGCAAACTAGAGCTCTCCTTGCTGTATTTAAAATGCTAATGATGAGACTCTCCTGACAAAAACATGAAAAGCAAGATTAGAAATATGAAAGGGTGGGCTCATTAGGTCAGAACATACTTGGTTCTTAACCACATGTGCTCAGTATATTGATGCACTTTTTAGTTCATTTTTCTCTACATGTTTGGGTTTTTTTAACCCTATTTTCTTTTTTTTTTTTTTTAAAGGTTATTGGAAAAAGTAAAATTAGCTAGAAGCTAGAAAATAGATGTTGTAAGCGCTTTTTTGTCACTGCCTTTGTGTCTCCACTGTGGTGTTCTAGTGGGAGTGTTCTATGGTAGTGTTTTATCCCAATTAAAGCCCCAGTTTCTTTTTATGTTTTCACCTTTTCTTAATTGACAGATAATTTTATCTTATTTATAGATGGACCTACCATGGAACTCAGACAGAAATAAAATAGGTATGAAGAAGCTATAGGTAGTTTTTCAAAACTTATTAGAAGAAAAAATGGTGTTCAGAAATACAGAGAAATGCCAGTATAATCTGGAACCAAAATGTACAGGTCTGAACCATTTGGGTGACAGATTTTTCTCTCCAAGTGTAGTAAGGTCACCAGTACAATCCATTGTCTCACATAGATTTCTAAGAGCGTTTAAAAACCTGTTGGCCAAATTTGCCTAGGCCAGCACTTTACTTATCTAATGCTATATGTACATGGTATTTAAGAGCCCACTAGTGCCCATGTTCTTAGAATTACAATTTTAGGCAAGGCAAATTAATTTCAGGTCTGCCTGTCCGAAGAACTTCCTCCTGTTTTTGTCTTAGAAGCAAATCTTCAAATTGACAATTTTGTTTCATGGCTTCCTTCATCAATTTATAAAATCAGGCTTGCTGTGCTTAAGTGTGTGTGTGTGTGTGTGTGTGTGTGTGTGTGTGTGTGTGTGTGTGTGTG